ACTCAATACAGCCTAATTTTGCATGAGTTTGGACAGACATTTTCTACCTTCAGCTCTTTTTTCTCAGGCAGACCTTGATGCCAAATATTTCTTTGAAGTTGTTGCATGTTACTGTTTATTTCTGCACGACATCTCATAGATTATTAGTGTTTGTCTCTCAAAAGTATCATAAAATTAAAGCAGAAAACTAAGAAAGTCTTTTTATTAAGTTCTTCTTTCAATCCCGAGTCTCTCTTGACTACAAACATTCATGGGTAAAGACAGGAGAGATAGCTCGGCAGTCTAAGCACCTGCTTAGACAAGCTTAAGGACATGGATTCGATCCTGGGCACCACATGCCACACCAGCCCTGCCCACAGCTACACTGAGCTGGCCACCAAGACGGGGAGTGGCGGTGCACCCCTGTAATCCCAGTGCTGGGACGCTGAAAACAGGAGGCTCATAAGTCCAAGCTGTATAATGAAGCTCTGTACCAAATACGTAAATAATTTTTTAAAAGAATATTCAATACTTTGACTTGATATGAGCAGGTTGTCACTATATGAAAGCAAATTTTGTGAGCATTTCATGGCTTAGAAATATTATTTGGAATATCAACTTTCATTTTGTGCTGTTTAGATTTCCTTTGTTCTGGTTTTTTGTTTGTTTGTTTGTTTGTTTGTTTGTTTTGTTTGGTTGGTTTGGTTTGGTTTTTCTGATGGCACCAGGGATTGAACTCAGGACCTTGTACTTGCCAGGCAAACACTTATTCCACTGAGCTATCTCCCAAGCCCCATAGTTTGCCTTTGTTCTGAATCAACTGTATGTGCTGCTTTGAAATTAGTTGTATTTTGGTGTCTCTCACATCCCTGTCATGCAGCACATGACCTTTATGAGCTGTCTCCCTGGTTTCCAGCGGTCACCCTCTGCACCCTGAAAATGAGAGACAATGCACAGGGATGGCAGAGAGAAGACTGCAAGAGGAAGAACAGCAAAAATTATACCCATAAATCCTAGTGCTCGCCGAGAGCTATTGTATGCCATACATCGTTCTGCATGCTGATAGCCAGTGATTCAGCTCTAGAGATAATTTTGTTTCTACTCTACTCTTGAAGGGATTAAAGCATAAGAAGTAGAAGATTTGACCAAGTCAGAGATAGAAAATAGTAAAGGTAGAAATATAGATACCCTGATTTAAAATGTATGCTATTATCCACCATTTCGTGATACATCCATTCTAAATAGGAAATGACCACCTTCAGCAACGTCAACAAATTTTACCCAAAACTCAAGGCAAAAGATTTCCAAAAGGATTCGATGGTGGGTATACATGGAATAAGACTTATAGACTCTATACCATGTATTTTCCTGGGACAATCATTTCTTTATAAACAGTGGCACCTTGGGTCATGAATACTTTTGTTTGCAAACAGTTGGATGCAGAATTAAAAGATTATAGACCATTAGCAACACAAGAGACACAGATATTTTCTAGTCCAGTAGCTATATAATCTGGTTACTGTTGGAATTAATTACCTGGGCAGTTTTGCCAATGTGCTGCTGTCTGGCCCACCTCCAGACAGACGAATCGGAATTGCTGCACATGGAGCGCATGTGCTGCAGGTGCCAAGGTACACTGAGCCATGACACTAAAGAAAGATGGGGTTAGCAATGTCGCCTGTCTCTAGTGGCAAGAGTAGAAATTATTCAAGTTTTCCTAATTTCCAAACTCTTTATAGTATATTACCAACATAGTTCCAGGGGATTAAAAATCTTTTCACTCAGTAAATACTTAAGAAGAGATTGATAGACAAAACACAATTAGTTGGGGTTGGCAATCGGTAAGTAGTCACAGACACCTGCAGTACAGTTGTGTTAGACAACTGTGTCCTGGAGCATAATGGGCCACCCTAAATCGTTAAATATTTTCTTGTCATAAGAATGATCAGAAGGGGCTGGAGAGATGGCTCAGTAGAATAAATGCTTCCCTGGCAAGCACAAGATCTTGAGTTCAATCCATGGTTCCACCAAAAAAAAAAGGATCAAAATATAATCATTCCCCAAATCTAAACTTAGAAGGACATGTCAAATGCAGCATAATATAAGAAAGTAGCATTAGATTTGGAGTCAGTACAGACTAGGTTCAAATCCAGCATTGAGAATCACTGGAAAATGCATTGAGTCCACGCTTAGGCTGTGCACTTGCACATAAAGGTGCAGATAAAAATTCCAGCCATCGTAACTAAAGCAACAATGCAGGTAAATGTTTACAGCACAGTTGGTGGGGTAATTCACAAATAATAATTCCCTTCCCTTTCTTCTTTGAACAAGGTAAAAAGGAAATTGCCAAGTCAATAATTGTACAAACTACCTAATTTGACCCCTACTTATAAAAGTAGACAAGTGCTTATTTTTCTACCTCATGCCTCAATGCGTGATCCCCTCTGGCAATCCTCCTTCCTACCTACCAGAATCTTACAAAGGAGGCATTTTATCCTGATTCTTACTAAGATTTCTCAGCACAATCTTCTCACCTCATGGAACAGCCTGTGCCCAAATAAACCTTAACAGAGAATCATGCTAGTCCTTCATGGCAGACTGGTGACAACTGAGGTGTGTGTGGTGCCTTCCACAAGGGCTCTTGCAGAAAGGCCACGCATCCTGGGTGCTCAAAATCAGAAGGCACTCACATAAGGTCAGAAGCAACTGCATATGTAGCGTTTGTCTGACCATGGATTTTCATACAGAACTTCCCTGAAGGGATGTATTTTCTCAATAGGCCAAACCAGATTATTTCTCAGGTATATTCATGAGGAAAGCCTATATCTATCTTCTTTAATAATCTTTTCAGCTCCTAAGATGTTGGTAAACACCTGAAAGTATGGGCATACCTTTTAGTTCATTTGATGACTGGGAACACTTTCTCTTTCACACTTAATTTCAACAGATATAGCAGAGGCACTTACTGTATTTAGAGCACAATGCTCAGTCCTCCATAGACAGTAAAATGATTAAACCAATATTGACCCTGCACAGGAGATGGAATTACATGCAGAATTGGAATAATGCTGTGACTCAGCCCACAAGCCTAACCAAGAGCTTCTACCAAAATTCCTTAAATTGGTTACATTCAACTGAACTTCTCAGAGTTCCCCATTGTGGATATTTTTCACATTATTTTCTGCTAAGTTCATATCAACATTCACCAGTATAAATACATATCCTATAAATGTTTTTCCATGTAAATTTGCATGCCATAGGTTTCTGTAAAGAGATATTTTCAGATGGTAAATGTAAGTAACTTACTGAACACAGCATTTCCTAAAATAAGTGTGAAATAACTAAAATTCCACAGGATTGCAGTTGTTATGAAAAATAAATAAATGCATAATTATATTTAAAAAATGACAATTCAAATGAGGAAAACATTGAAAACATAGTAAGTTAAGCAAATTAATGAGTTTTTCTGAAGTGTTAGATGCCTCAGGAACTTTTTATGTATGAATATGTTCCATAAACTAAGAGGCAGAGCAGATAAAGAACACTGCTCAATGTTTATTGTTGTTATTGTCTTTGTTTTGTTTTCCACCTCAAGCATCTTTGAAGACTCCAGTACTACCGAAACTCATTTTAGGAAACACTTACCTGGAATGTTACCCTAATACACTGTCCGAGTTTAGGCAGATAGCCATCCTAACTCTTCAGTCAAGACTTGGTCACCTGGTACATAGGCCAAAGTCATCTCCCAACTCAGACATCTTGAGCTCTTATGAAGCCTTGTTGACTCTCATAGGAAACAAAACACAGCTCTTCCCACACTAACTCCAGCTGGATATCCACCCAATAAAAAGCAGTTAGAACACAACTGGATATAGCTCTCTTTTGAATGAGATAGTTGAAAGGCAAGTCTTTGCCTTTAACCAGTGCCTAAGTGCAAAATAAGTTGAAACCTGAATTTCTATGAGATAAAACCATTGGCCAATTCCATCAAAACTAATCAAAACAGCTAAGTAAATTGAGGGTATGGGTTAGTGGCTTTAAGAGATAGAAGAGGAGAGAAGGAAGGGAAAAGGAACTTTTAAAATGAGAATATTCAATACCATGAGAAAGAGAGAGAGAGAGAACTGAATATAAACTCAGCGTTGAGTGTTTTTAAAATGAGAAGGATATTAGAATTGCTAGAAACAGGGAAGGGGGAAGGGAATAAAAATGAATTAAGATATATTCTGTTCATGTACAAATTGGCCAAGGTAAATGTAATCATTATCTATTGCAAACATGTGTTAATAAAAAATACAGAAGAAAAATAAATATTTTAAGTAAATGAAAATAGCCAATGCCATTATTTTATTAAGAATTACTAGGGTCAGTTTTTTTTCCTACTAAAATGTCCTTAAGGGGCCAGCCAGATAGCTCAGTGGACTAAAGCGCCTACTTCAGCAAGCTTTGGGACCCGGGTTCGATCCCTGGCACCCCATGCCGTGCCAGTCCCGCCTCCGGGGCACACTGAGACAGCGACTGAGACTGGGTGTGGTGGTGTGCCCCTGTAATCTCAGCAGTTGGGATGCTGAAAACAGGAGAATCACTAGGATTCCAATCTGTGTAGGGAAACTCTGTAGACCCTGCATTAAATACATTTTTAAAAATGTCTTTAGAAGAGTGATCATTATTATCATAAAGCTTTAAAAATTTCGACCACAAAAGCCAAGAAGCCTCACCCAAACATGATAAATAAAAAAACTTCCTCCCAACTTGGGGACCCTGCATGCCAATTGCCTTAACCCAGATCTGTCCCAGGGAGTGGTAGCCACTGGGCTTCTGCTGGCAGCGTGCCATTAGGAGGGAGAACACTGGCCCTGCTCTGAGGAGGTAAGCAAACCAGCTCCTTTCAGAAAGCAAACTGAAAGGGTGGACAAAATGCTGGTGGTTGTCGAGATGTGACAGTGGGATGGGCTGCTCTCTAGGCCCTGGAGTAGAACCCCATCTGCCCAGACAGACCCCGCACTGCCTGCCACACGCACTGCAGAGAGTTTCATCGCTCCAGTCATCGCAGTCGTTGTAACCATTGCACTGCAGCTTCCTGGGGATGCAGATTCCACTGGCGCACAGGAAGTGGTCACCCCCTCCGCAGAGCACTGGAAGAGAGAGAAAGGGAGAAACAGGCTGAATAAGGGTTGGTTTATTCTTTTAAACTTAGGAGGAACAAATAATAGAAAAACCTTTTGTTGCTACCTAACTCAACGATTTGCTTCCAGATATTTCATTGTCACCAATTTTCCTTGGGTACTTTAGAGCATTCACTGTGGAATTACATGGGAATAGCACAGAAAGCTTGCCTCCAAAAAGCAAAACCAAATTAGCCTGTGGGCTTGCCAGGGAGGCCTACATCTTCAGAGCTCAGAGCAGAGCCTCGCCAGTCACTCTGCTTACCTGTCTGCGCAGACCAAAGGGAGTATTTTTCTTAGCAAATAGAAGTAATGTCAAAATGAAGTACTACTAATTAAACAAACATTTAAAAAAATTGTTCTAAAATGCTACCTTCGTAGCACAGTAAAAAGAAAAAAAAGTCAACTAACATGTGCAGTTATAATACAGCACAGACCCCATACCCTGTATGTAAGATGTATTTATTCGCCTTAACAAAAATATCATGTAAAATGTCATTCCTTATGTTTTGGCATAAGGAATATGAAATGACATTAGCTAATGTTTTGTTCTATCTTCCTGTACAGTTACATATGGACATTACATATGGCATTTTTAGTTCTTATTCAGGGTTCTTTTTCTTCCCAAGGATTCAACACATACACAATTGTATTAAAATGAGGGTAGATAATGAATTTAAGATTAACAAAGAGAAACATATTTTAAGGAAGCCCATAAATAAAGGATACATCAGCTCAGCAAAACAAGTGTTACAATAAGCTTAAATATTTGGCAATATGCATCAAATGCCTAACAGTCATATTTCTTGGATTACATACAAAGAAAATCATGAGCAATCCATGTAAGCTTTATTCTTAAGGATATTTACACCATCATTCTTCATACTGAGGAATCTATGAAATCACAATTATACAATAATAGGGAACTAGCTAAATAAATGTAGTCTTTCCCTAATAAAGAGTACTGCTGCAGCCACTGAAAAAGTGTACTTTAGAAAATACTCGATGTGCTACAGTAAAGTTCAGGATAGTACAACTGGCTATAAAACATCATAATTTGTCAGGGGAAGAGGAGCATCTAAGACTAGCAGAATTATCCTGGTAATAAAGGTAATTTTTATTTTCTTTACCATGTTTATTTTGTATTTTTAGAAAATTCTAATAATGATTATGTATTCCTTTTTATTCAGGAAAAAGAAATACAGACACATAAAGGACACACAGGAAACACGAGGAGGTTCTGAAACTTGCAGTGTCAGAGTAACAGTAGATAAGCAGAACCTCCAATCAGTTGTCTCCTCTCTCTCCGTGCCTTTCCTCTCTCCTCCCTCCCCTCTCCCCAATTCTTCTCTCTCTCTTCCCCTCTCTCTGCCAAAGATCCTTAGCCACGTGGTGCCTGCCACCATCCCTGAGCTGTGCATTCCTTGATCTGATAAACCTCAGGCTAAATAATGATAGCTGCAAAGTATGGAGTATTTTAACTCAAAACAGAAAAATACAGATCGAAAGCTACAGGTAGTAAGGTACATGTCTGCCATATTTCACACCACATCCCCAGGACACAGCAGAATAGCTGATATTCAGGAAACTGTAAATGAATACTTGAAATGGAAGACCATCTATCTACATCTCCAGTGAGGCTACTGTGGTTTAGTTCTAAAATGTCCCCCAAAATTCTTATATGTGCAGAGGGGAAGCTTTCAGAAAGCAATTGGATCATGGGGCATGACACTCATCAGTGATGAGGTTCTAGCTGAATGTGCTGCTGAGGGATAGGTTCTGGCCATGAATGGTGGGCCACTGGGGGCATGACCTTGAAGGATGTGTTCTAATCCTTGGCTCCACCTTTCTCTGTCTCTGTCTCTGTGTCTATCTCTGTCTGTTTCTCTCTGCCTGTCTCCCTCTTTGTCTCTGTCTCTGTCTCCCCCCGTCTCCCTCCCTCTGCCTCCCTCCCTCTTCCTCTCTCCCTCTCTTCTTCCCAGCTGCCAAGAAGTGAGCTGCATTCTAACAAACTTTTCCCTATCTTGTGTCTGCCCTAGAGCCAGCCAACCATGGCCTGAAACCATGAGGCAAAACAAACCTCTACTTTAAATCACTCCTGTTGTGCATTTTGTCCCAGAAATGGGCAAGTGACTCATACAGAAGCAATATATCATCATAAAGCAGAAAAAAATTGATATGTTATTTTCCAACACAAGCAAGGAGATCCATGCTTCAGTGTATTGACCATTAAGTTCTACTTTATCTGATAAGTTTATAGCATCAACAAAGACCTTGTTTTCATTATATCCCCAAATCAGCACAAATTATATCAGTGGATTTTAACTGCCAAAATATTCAACATGCTTAACATATTCAGTGTTAGAGAATTCAGCACAGGACTACACTGCTACACCTACATATACAGACTCCTAAAGGCTACACAGGAAACCAGATATAAAATGAAATTTCAAAACACTAGTATTTTGCTAGGCAATCTACACAATATCCCCTCTCTAGGGTTAAGAGAAAATATTAAAGGCATTTTATCCTATTGTGAGATTGTTTCTGGAGAGTATAAGAATTCCATATGTCTGCTTTTCAGCAGCTGCAGTTCAAGAATTACTGCATTCCCCACCTAGGGCTGTGATAATTCCTCAGGAAATACAGCTGGGAACTCACCATTAAATAATACCTAACACCTAGACTTCATCTTTAAGACCCTGTCTCTGCATATGACTAATAAAACCCATTTCATCTGCATGGTCATCTCAAATCTGGATCAAATTTAAAGCATAACACTACTATTTAAAGCATGCATTGTCTTGATTAGCAGTATCCCCTGTGTTGCTGATTCTGCAGAAACTCATAATTTTTGGAGTAGTTGCATTCTAGTGCTGGCCTTACTTCAAAGATACTATAAGCTGTTTCTTTCTTCTTATTTTTCTTTGAAGGTTTATACTGTCAGTAACCAGTACTACTTTTGTCAAATTAGAATAACTTGTATATATTTTTTATGTAACTATACATGTAGTAGATTTCTAGCTGGTGGTCAACTTATTACATCCAGTTGAATTAAACTAGCATGGGGCTGGGTGCCAGAGACCCACTTGAGGATTGTTGCCAGCAGCATGAAGGCAGAACAGGAGAAGCTGCCAGAAAGCTGTTAGGGACACTTTGGAGAAGCTGTTGGAGTTGTTGGAAGCTGCTAGTTCCCTTTGGCTGTTCTGCTGGAGGACCTTGTCATGCTGGCTTTCCCGATGAACTTTGAAGGAACTCTGGTCCTCAACTTGAGCATCGCTTCCTGGCTCGAGGGGAAGATGGTGCGCTGCTCAGCCCCGTGAAGAAGCTTGTGACATTGCCTTTCCTGATGGGAACTCAGCTTTCCTCATCACTGGAGGAGCTCAGGACCTCACTGTTGCTGAGGATGGCTGTGGTACTTTTGGGAGAGCTCTGGTGCTTACCTTGAGTGTTGCTTCCTAGCTGCAGTTCAGATCCCTCAGCCTGCTAGCACAGATCCTTCATCCCACTGGCATAGACTTCCTAGCTTCCACCACTGACCTTTGGGCCTTTCCAGCACAGATCCGTGAAGCAGGCCTGCATGAGACTTTGTTGTCGGTTCTAGGCCTCCAGTTGGACTGGTGGGAGGCATTGCTATGAGCTCTACGCCCTCAGCTGGACTCTTTAGTACTTAGTGTGTGGATAGATTTCCTGCACTTATGGTATGTGATTCTTGGGTGATTCATTATAAAATATCATAAAACATGTTCTGTATTATATTGTTCCCTTGTAAAAAAAAAACCCAAACTGTGATGATACTCAAAATTTCTATTTTATTTACATAAAACTTTCAATTAATAAGGTGCTTTAAATTCATCTTATTTGGAATTTCTAAGAGCTCCATAAAGTAAACAGGCAAGCATCCTTACCCGAACTTCCTTGGAGGACAGCAATTTGCAAATAGAGGAACTGGATTATCATAAGGTTAAAACATAGGTATGCGGCCAGTAAAAGGTGAAAATCCTGAGATCTAGGCTTCCATTCTAACCATCTATACCACATCCATTCCCCTAGTATTGATTGATAGATATAGTCAGTTAACTCAACTTCAGGTGAAAGCTGGCAGATTGGAATAAGGGTTCAAACTTATCTTTATTTTCCTCTGTAAGCAAAAGAGGAATATCTATCTTTTAGGTGAATGTTACTGGGATGAAATGATATTCCTTTTTTTTTTTTTTTTTTTAAACTGGGGATTGGACTCAGGCCCTTGCACTTGCCAGAGAAGCACTTATTCCACTGAGCCATCTCCCCAGCCCTGACATTCTTTTTTTTTTTTAAATTTTAGGGAAGGGTCTACAGGGTGTTCAGGGTCTCACTACTAGATCGGACTTGTAGTGATCCACCTGTTTATAGCCTCCCAAGAGCTGACATTATAGGCGCACGTCACCACGCCCAGTCTCAATCACTGTCTCAGTGCACCCCGGGGGTGGGGCCAGCACTGCATGAAATGATATTCCATGCCATCTCTAGTTTTTGGGCTTTTAGGAAACATCCTAACAGAACTCTTAACAGATTTCTGCAGAGATTTTTGGCCATCAATTTCATTCTTTTTTAACAATCATCTTTCAACAGGCTTTTGAATTAGCCCTTAGATTACAAAAGGAGATCACTGAGAAGTTATGGCATAGAATCTTAACATCATTATCATCTATAATTCTAAGGATTGTGCTATATTTTAAATCAATGGTAGATGACTTAAAGTAAGGTTCATTAATTAACTGAACAAATATTACTGTGTGTGTACATAAGTTCTAGTACTTGGAGACATAACTATGGGAAAAAAGAAAAAATATTTCCATCTGAATATTCTACTGGTCATTATGAAGAAACACTTGACTGAAAATGTTTTACCACCAAAATGGACTTCCATTTACCCATGTGACAGCTAGTTAATACAACTCTAAGAAGAACAGTAAAAAGTTACATTTCCT